TTGTTTTTTTTGGTTATATTATTTTAGTGCGGAACTTTGCCGTCTTTTTTTCTTATTTACATTATAATCATTGAACAAATGACGCAAGCGCGATTTATATTGGTTCAATGGTATTTTTTTTTAATTTCTTTTAAACATCATATAGCTGCATGCAACGCTTTACATAGATTAAGTATGGGGCTGGGTGACTATTTATATAGGTAATAAATTTTAGGTTAAACATAAATTAACAAATGTAGTTTTAAGATATAGTAAATAAAAAATTTATATAATGCTAAACACAGATATTTACGTATGAGTGAGCCTTCCTATAGCAATTAAATTTAATACACTAGCCTCCTATAAATTTAATTATATTAAGGACAAAAGCTGTACAAAGCCAATCAGCTTCAAAGCCATTGTTCTCGGTGATTGACCGGTAACAATGTTCATCCGCATTTGCTTTCGACTTAAACCATACCACGGTTTTGCAGTAAAACAAATAAGGGATTCTAAAAATGTCATGATATGTCATGTTTTGTGATCATTTCCCTGCAACTACTGTCAATTGATAGGTTTTAAGGGGGTCCCACTTTGCCTCGGTGGGACTGGGAGCGACCTGTTTCTAATAGATTTAGCATCAAAAATTCAAAATTTAAATCTTGATTTAAAAATCAAGATGAAAGTCTATGTCGAACGACACAAATATCATTGTGCTCCTTAAATGATGTTCTTTCAGATGATGTATAAAAATCGGTATGTTTTTAGAAATTAAGCATCCCAATTTAATATTTTTCTCTGGGGTTCTGTCACTTGCTTTTCTCAACCTCGAATCCATTCTACGCAGCTAGGTGGCATTTCTATCTTGTTTTCCTTGCCTTGACAAGACCGAACATTGCTGTGGGGCCATGAATTGTGGGTGCCACTCACAGCTCATAATTTGTAAGCTAGGGGATGAAAATGTAAAAGTTTTTCATATATTTAAATTACATGGTTCAAAAAATTACAATTGGATTGCTTAGGTATTCGAAATCTGAATTAAAAATGAAACCGAAATTCATCATATTAGCGCCCCTCGCACTTAGTAGCATTTAGATGTCTTGTAGAATGTTTCTTCATTTTTGAAGTACTTTAATTGAGAAGTGAACATTTTTGATTAAGAGGTGTATACACTAAGATAAAAAAAATATGTCTTGTTGAAATTGATGAACATCTATGAAATCATTGTAGATGAAGTCATTTTAAGAACTTTGTCGAAGGCGTCAATTTTCTATCTCTCAAGTGAACGAAGTTATAGGATAAAAATGGAGTACTAACGCTAGTACCCCCTTAAAAACCTTTTTTTTTACCATAACTTTTAAGTTTGAATTGTTTGATTTTTTCAAAGTTCTACAAAGTTGTAAGTGCTTTAAAAATGCACATTTTTGCTCGGTAAAGCAAATCGCTATCTCTTCATGTAAAGGATTTAAAGTACCTCAATGTTTTGCTACGTTTTGCTGTTTTCATGACCATCTTTTTCCAATTCAAATGTAAGGTGATTGACTTTCTTCTCTACTATTTAGCATCGCGTTAGAAGATGTGATAAGAAGAGCTGGGATGGACACGAGTAGCAAGATCTTCAGGAAGTCCAACCAGGTCTTTGGCTTCACCGATGACATCGGTATCATGGCACGGAACTTTGAAGCCATGGCAGAAACGTACATCAAACTGAAGGCCGAAGCTAGGCTGATTGGACTTTCCATCAACGCGTCGAAGACGAAATATATGAGAGGAAGAGGTTCTAGGGAATACAGGAAGAGGTTCTAGGAAAGACAATGTTAGCCTCCCACCCCGAGTTAAGATTGACGGTGACGTTGTTTTGGGCTCACTGGTGACCGCCGAAAATGATACCAGCAGAGAAATTCAAAGACGCATTATTGCAAGAAATCGTTCCTACTTTGGACTCCGGAGGACGCTCAGGTCGAATAAAATTCCCCGCCGCACGAAGTTGACTATCCACAAGACGCTGATGGGTGCAGATGGGTGACGGAACGTGGAGGAGGTGAATGAACCACGAATTGCACCAGCTGCTGGGAGAACCATCCATCGTCAAAACTGCAAAAATCGGTCGACTACACGCACGTCATTAGAATGCCGGCCGACGACCTAGTGAAAATTATTCTTGAAAGCGACCCGCGCAGCAAGGTGGATCGACCAAGTAGAAGGCACAGACTACGAGGTTGGCGACGTGTGGCCATGGACCGAGTAGAGTGGAGACGTCTTCTTCGTATAGCTGAGGAGATCAAGGCCTTAGCCTGATTGGTAAGGTAAGTATCAACCAGCTGATTCTACGCTTTTGTAATCAACTTGAAATCACTTGAAATTATCCCTACTTTTAGGTGTGACGGCAAACAGTTTCTTGTTAGTTTCAGAACACTTTACCAATGGGATCTTAAATGAAAGGCACACATTTTATGATAGCAATTATAAATGCCATTTATGCCTTCTCTTGCTTTAGAATTTTATTTAGTGTTACGCCGTTACACCTCCGTTTGGAGGGGAGCATTAAAGTGACATTGTTGGGCGTTACGTAATTTGTGAACAGATCCTCATACTGCGTTCAGACTATGGCTGATATCATGTAATATAGGCTGCCTTGCAATGAGCACTCATACGTCAAATTTTGACCGGAAATCGTAGCCTTGCCTTTTGATATCAAGATAGCCTATATTATATGATATCAGCTATAGTCTGAACGTAGTATCAGATTCAAGTCTCGACCGCCGCCGCTGCCGTTAGTCCGTTGAAGAAGTTGTCAACTTCAACTGAACGTTTGGAATCAGGGTCGGGATGTGCTGTCGTATAGGCCTACTGATCATCCATCAATGGGATAAAGAGACGACATGTCAAAATTGGAACAATCGATTACCCTAGTTTACAGCATATTTGAACTTAGTGCGCTGATGCTCATTTCCCATGTAAAATCGTGCACTGAATCCAAAAATGTAGTCAGAAAAAATCTCAGTAGGATAGTTTTCTAGATAAAGCTAAAAAATGAAATTACTCTTAATTGAAGTTTGTTTACTAAAATAGAAATATCTCCGACTGTAATGAAGCTATATCAATTATTTTAATGCCAAATTAAAAGTGGGAAAATGTACTTTCGACTGGATACTATTGACGTAGGACTACGTCTGTAATTTCTATATCGGGGCACACTTTGTGAAAACCAAAAATGGAACATGTAACAAAATTATGAAAGATTTTGAACGTCAATAACTCAGCTGTTAGTAATTTTATCACCAATTGATCAGAAATATTCCTACGCATCTGCTAAATTCAAGACTTTATCATTTTTCAAAATGTCAACATTGAAAATCGCACGAATGTGCAACTGTTGCTATGATAGTTAAAATTATCAACGATTGCGTGCGAAAAGCGATTTCCCTAACACAGATTTCAAAGTTGAATTACAGCCGGTCTCACCAAACGGCGTTTATTTAATCACCGCGTGGTGAGTGGTGGTGTTCTCCAGTACACCACGAAAGGCTGCCTGCAAGCAGTATATAAGACCACGTAGTCCTACGTCACCATTGCATACAATCCCATAGGGCTGTCCCTTGTTGTTTTTTTCAGTGAGATTAATGGTATTGTTACAACCACTACAAACATTTGTATTTACCTTGCTTAAAAATTTCGCTGGAACACAATTTTTCTTGGAAATATGCTAAACATTAATAAATACAATTTAACAAACTATTAATTAACAAAAATACCACTAATATCACTCACAAATGATTTTGAGCTGCTTTAATTTGGCGTTCAAATAATTGATATTGCTTCATTACAGCCGGAGATATTTGTGATTTAGTAAACAAACCCTTTTTTTTTAAGTGAGATTTCACTTTTAGCTGTATCTAGGAAATTATCTTACTGAGATTTTTTCTGACTACACTTTTGGATTCAGCGTACGATTTTACATAAGAAAACATTGAAGTTCATAGTTTTTACTTTTATTTGTAAACTATTGTTATCTGTCAAAGTCATAGGAAAAGTTATTACAATCGAGTCTGTCAAGGACATGTCAAATGGATAAGATGTCGCCTCTTTAGCCAATTCAGTCTCTTTAGTAAGGCCCACTGAATTTTTCGTCTCTTTCGTTCTCCCGCTGTTTAATGGTTGGAAGAGTGTAACGTCAAACTCTACCACCCATTTCAACAGGCGGAGAACGAACGAGACGACAAATTCACAATTGCTTACACTCATGGATTTTCCATATGTGAATTTGGCTCCAAACATCAACAAACCATCGTTGCTTGTTGTCCTATTGGAACCAGTTATGCGAGCTCCCCCCTTGTTTCGAATGTACGGCAATGGCGCAGTTTGTTCCAATGTTGACCAAACAATTTTAATTTGGAAACACAAACATAATAGCGCTGTCCGATGAGAGCTCGAAACTGATTTCAAGCACTTTTGGCGTTCAATCAACCGATTCGCGGTACTCCAAGTTGTTTGTAGGTACCTACCGTTGTTTATTTAATCAACTTGGAGGGGTTTTGAGTTGCTTTATAGAAATAGCTCGCAAGTTTTCTATTCCGAGAATGATATCCAGCACTTCGAACAACAGCCAACTGTGTACTGTCCGAAATGACAATGAGAAACTTTATTGTTTTCCTAGAGCCTGACATTTTCCTTTAATCCATGTAGGCGGGCTTCTTGGGACGATTTTCTGCTGTAGTTCAGAGACGATGTTTTATAAGAGACATGTGGGGAGACGTTTCTCAGTGGAACTGACAGCAAGAAATCTTGAGTGTGTGAGTGATCTGGTGTTAATTGTGCTGAACGTAAACATATACAAAGCAGAAATTCATATGAGAATAAACTGCCAGTTCTACTGTGATCGATCAAATGTTCTTGGTAAACAAAAAAGTCAGCTGATCGCAACTGCCTCGTGGACAGCCTTAGAATAATGGGGGGGGGGGGGGACTATACATTCGACAACATCTTATTCCGCGTCCAATCAAAAGTTCAGCGCAACCTACCTCCAGTGCTGCCGCCGTACTGGGATCGTGGTCGTTTTCCACCGCCTCGATCTGGCGGAAGATCTCCGAACTGATGCCGGACACCTTCCGGAAGTCGCCCTGTAGTAATACTGGTTCCTTGTTGCTGCTGCTCCCGGGACCACCCATTCCCCGCTGGCCACCCTGCTGCATGTGGCCGCCCTGGCCCTGGTGCGGGTGGTGCTGCTGCATGCCCTGCCCTGCCTGCTGCTGTTGCTGGTGCGAGGGCATCGGTCCGGGCGGCGCACGGCCCGGACTTGCGGTGAGGTCAGGCACTGATCTTCCATTTTCCTGTGGAAAGAGAAAAGAAAAGAAGAAACACCAATCAGCATAAATAATCAGAAGTAAAGTGATTCGCTTGATTCGTTTCGGGGTGGGTTTAGGCGAGGGATTGCATTGCAGGTGACCTTTGAAAGTTCTTCGGAATATCTGCCCTGCGCCTACACCCGCCTACGATGGGTTCGCCTTCAATAACAATGGAAAATGAACGATTCCCTCGGCGATGATGGTAGGATTCAGTTTTCTTCTTTCTTTTTCTTTGGCTTTACAACCAAACCACTGAGCCGGGGTGATTTAGGAATAACACAAATCGAACCGTATTCTGTTTGAAACCGCTCCCTCGGCGATGGAAAATTCAAATCAGTGTGTTTTGCTTTTGCTGCGTCGCCTCGGTTGCCTACCGAACGGGGGCAGGGTGGGAAAAGCAAGGAATATGAATAACGAACTAAATTGAAAGTACTACGTACATAAATACTCTCGAACTCTCGAACGAGTGTATACAAAATCCACAGTTAATAATTTAGTGGGAGGTGGGGTGGTCTCTTCAAGTCACGCAAAGCACTATATAGCTCTACTGCAGTACAACAGTATACGAGCAGTAAAAGCGATGAGAACAACTCGTCGACTCCAAAGTGGTTCGTTCTACACGTAATGATTGTTGTTGTCGCTTTAGATTGAACTTTCAACCCATCATCGAGACCGTTGGCAGTGGTTGGTTTTAACTAAATGGGAAATGTCGTTAAAATTACTGCTTTCATAGGAGTTTACTTAGAGGATACTTTTGTTCCGTAAGCGTTGATCAAAAACGTTTGATTCAATCCAAAAACGCACATGGCTAAATTATGCCATTCAATTAAGTCCCACTTCCCAACATTCCTCTTACGACTGCAGTAGGTATTTAATCAAATGAAACAAAAAATGAACTGTTTAATTAGCTCTCTAAATAATCACCCTAATTGCCCAACCTCCTTTCAAAACTCTACAAATGATCGTAAAACAAGCACGTTCCCTTCCGACCCCAAATCGCGCGGCGGCTCGGTTCCGGAAATTGGGCTCTCACCACTTCGTGACAAGCCTGTTTGATTCGAATCATGAACATGCTCCGTCCGTTTCTTTTACGATTGCTGAAAAATTTATGGAACTCCCTCCGTTCCATTCCGTTTCGTTTCCATTTTTCTTGCCCTTTGAAGTTCCCGGGAAAAGTGCATGTCGATATGTAGAAATCGTTCCGCGCTTCCGTCGGTTCACTTTCGGGTATATGGCGTTCTATTCTTCAGGGAACGTTTCGCTTGCCAATTCTCTTCCGTTGCCGAAGTGAACGTTTAATTTCTTGCTTCCTGTTCCTGTGTATGATTGGAAATTAGCCACATTTTTTTCTTCTCGTGAGCATGGAACACACAGGAAACGGAAGCAGGCGTAAGAAGCTCAAAGTAAAATTCTACCAAAGAGCTTCCGCTGCCTGCCATGTAAAGGGAAATGAAGGGACTTTGTGTGTGCACTAAAATGGGCTTCTTATAGTGAGGGTAAGAGTAAGAGTTATTACTTTTAGTATTCGGCCGATTCTTTGAAGAAAATAATCATGGTTAGCAGTTTATTGCTAAGGAACCATGAGATCTGAATGTTTGACGTTCGTTTGCTTTCAATCAGTATCATCTAAGACAAAAAGCCAAGCCTGCAGTTCAAGGACTATTTTCGTGGAAAAAATCGTAAAGTTTGAAATCCTACTTGACTTGAAGTGAACTAAATAAAAATCATTAGAAATTCCGTGACGCGAATCACCTGGACGGGATTTCATTTTTATTTTGATTACTTGGACTGGTTCAACTCATCTTAGATCTGATCCAGGTATGCAGATCTTTCCAGACAACCTTGAACAGACGTTCAGATTTGGTGTCGTAAGTGAAAAAATTGTGTTGCTTCTCAGTAAGATACTTGAATAGTCGTTTGAATCCATCCATGGTTTCAGCCAGTACACGGCATTCACTCCGACGGCCAGTTTGAAGTGAAATCTTGACTTTTACGAAGTTCAAAAGTTCCGTGTGAAGAGCATGGCAATCGGCAGTGGTTACCACAATAGGGGGGACCTTTTCCTTTTTGGCATTAAGCCGGGAATTTTCAATGGAGTTTTGCCTAGATGATGGATCATTCTCATCATGCGTAAGCATATCAAATTGATTGCTTAAATGGATTTCATCAGACGGGGGATCAAGAGATTGCCCTTTTCTTTTACGCTTAGGCACCATGGCGGCAGAAAAAAGTTTCTCCAAATCTAGCAGATTGCTATAAGAATCCGAAGAATCGAAGAGATATTTTCCAAATCGATATCCAAGCAGGGTTACCTCGGGTAGGGCCCAAACAAGGATCGAAGAGGAATAAGAATAGAACAAGGTAGAAACATTTACCGGTAATATTTAGCACTGCAAAGTGCTGTTGAAATTTGCTGTAGCAGTAGCAGTTGCACTTCCTTCAGCACTATGCGAATTGCATGATTTTAGATGGATTCTTCCTCTGCACAATCAATTCTCAATTGGGTTCTTTAATTTTGAAAAATGTATCGTTTTTTATACATCATCTGAAAGAGCTTCGTTTTTGGAGCACAGCGATATTTTTTTTCGAATCCACACACTTTCATCTCGATTTTTAAATCAAGATTTAAAGCAAAATAATAAATTCACTGTTTGACACTAAACTAACAAACTGACAGCTCGCTCCCATACAAAGTGACACCGAGGGGCGCTAATAAGGTGATTTTTGCAAATGTAATCGTACTTATTTAAAATAGTTCCAGTTTACCAAAATTGATGAAATTTTGGGTTTGGGTTCCATTTTTAATGCAGATTACGAATAGGGTAACCAACTTGAATTGGACCCCTACATATTTTGGACCCTTTTCATATATTTTCCTCGCTTACTGTCTAGTTTCTTCAAATTCATCTGGGTTGATGTTGTAATTACATTCTTTCAATTACTTGCTATGTCTCAAGATCATTAGTTCACCTCAAATTGCTTACAATTGCTCAATTAATGCAGTTTTAGAAAATGTTATGGAAAAATTTTCATGTTTCGACGTTTGTCAAGAGGAATCGGCGTTAGTGTACTTGTTTTAAATTTGGTCTAAAATATACAATTCAATGATTTTTTTTTATCAAATCAGTTTATCTGACTTTGGAAGATGTATTTTACATGTTTATAAAGATTTCACCTTAAGATTTTACTTAAAAAATATTAAATAAAAAGTGTCCAAAAAAGATCGTAAAAAAATGTTACCAACTTATTTTGGACACTTATCAAATGAGAATCATCAAAAGAGCGACAAAAAAATCCGGTTGGTCGATCGTGCTATTATATCAGATTTCTGATTAAATTGGTAAGTAAATCAATCAAAATTATATGAATTCATTGTTTTTAAATATATTTCTTGTTTATCAGGCGATTCAAAATGGGAAAAACGGCAAAACACGTAGAGTGGTCCACTCTGAGTTTTCCTAGTTTTCCTAGTTCCTAGTTTTCCACAAAAGTTTTCCTATCTCCCAAAGGCATTTAACTAAGGGGCTGTTCATAAACTACGTAGACGCTTTAGGGGGGTGGGAGCGCTTGGCAGATGTCTACGGTCCATACAATTTTTTAAATTTTGTGTTTGAGACTGTCTTCTACGGAAGGGGGGGGGGGGTTGAATCTCTCAAAAACCGTCTACGTAGTTTATGAACAGCCCATACAAAAATAATATGAACTGCAAGCATAGAGTCAGGTCTCCGTATTAAGATTTACTTCTGAATGATTTTTTTATGGTATGATCAGTTGTTTCCTTATGTTATATTATATTTCCTCCGTTACTCGCGCCAACTTTTGTAACACGAGTACTCACGCGTTGTACTTTGTACAACAGTGTGAGTTTCCATTTCCATTTTGCAGCCGAGCTACCAATCGATCTGAAATCAACGAGTATTCTTCAAAAAACTTACTTTTAACTAAACAAGCTAAATATTTATTACAGTTAACCCCCAAAGTTACTGTCTTCGAAAAAGTTGTTCAGGAGTTCAAAGCCTATAGTTCAGAATTTTTTCACTATATGGTGCTAGTATATACGTAAAATTCTCATATAAAATATCTCGAAATCCTGATCATATAAAAAGTTACTGTCTTCGGCAAAGTTGTTCAGGAAGTCAAGGCCTTTTTGCTGGTGGACTTAAGTTCAGAGTTTTCTCACTTTGCAACGCTAGTATGCATGAGGAATTCTCGCATATAAAATATCTCTAGATCCTGACCAGACAGAAAGTTACTGTCTTCGGCAAAGTTGTTCAGGATGTTAGGATCTTTTCGTTGGTGTACAGTAATTCAGAATTTTCCCTTTACGTGGCACTAGTATGCGGGTCATTCAGAGATATTTTATATACAAGGATTTCACGTGACGTTGAAGTCACCTAGTGAGAAAATTATGTACTTTCCACCAACGATAGGGTTTGATCTCCTGGACAACTTTGCCGATTACAGTACATTTTTAGCAGGTCTTGAGATATATCATATGCGAGAATTGCACGTATATACTAGTACCATGAAGTGAAATATTCTGAACTACCGTCCACTAGCCAAAAGGCCTTGATCCCCTGAACAACTTTGCCCAAGACAGTAACATTCTATCTTGTCATGCTCTCAAGATATTTTATATGAGAGAATTTAACGTGTATACTAGAACTACATAGTAAGAAAATTCTGAACTATTCTACACCAAGCAATAGGCTTTGACCTACTGAACAACTTTTTCAAAGACAGTAACTTTCTATTTGGTCAGGATCTCGAGATATATCATATGCGAGAAGTGTATATGTATACAAACGCCACGTGGTGAGAAAATTCTGAACTACTGTCTACCAGTCGAAAAGTCTTGACCCCCTGAACAAGTTTGCCCAGTACAGTAACTTTCTAGCTGGTCAAGAACTCGAGCTATTGTATATGCGAGAATTACACGTATATACTAGCGCCTCGTAGTGTGAAATTTCTGAACTACTCCACCA